ACAATTATAAAAAATTAAAGGGTTATTTGGATGTGAAAATAAATGCAAAGTAAAATTAAATATAAGAGTTTTATAATAACAGTTGGAATTTTATTTTCATTTAAGTTTGACGATTTGAATATAATGATAACGAGATATCTAAGTGGAAACAGACTTAAATAAAGTGCTCGTAGGTATAATTAAAAAATTTTCACGACAATTTAAGATTAAAATATCCTCTAAATTTTTTGCGTTTATAATCAAATTATGTCAATAAAGTCATCGTCAACATGGTTGATGCATGCCGTCAATATGAACCTTGTTGTCAACACTAGCATCACCATATATTATCGCCAATAAGACTTAAACATGCATCACTAAAAAAGTGAATGCACGACATCAACACCAACATTGGTCGCTTCAGGAAATTCTTCGATTACCATCAAAGTTTCCAAAGGATTTATATACGCCGGTAATAGTGGCGCATGAACCAGTGCATGCCATCATCAAAAAGATCAATGCATATTGTTAACACTAACATCGATGCACATAATCACCAATAAAAGATCAATGCATTTCATCGTCACCATTACCAATAGACAACATCGCTAATAAGATCAATGTGCACTATTGATATCAATGTTGATGTACACAATTGCCAATAAGGCCTCCGATCCCTTGTTGCCGACATCAACCTTGATTGTTGTCGTCTCCAAGATGTTCAATGTACGTCATCGCTTATAAGACTAACATTCATTATCAACATCAATATTAACACTGACACTGAACGTTAACAAGAAGGCTTAGGCTCATCCTCTTGGTGCATAATTTCTCCTCTCTTAAGAAAATGTTGACGTAATATACCACCGATAATTCTTCGAAGAAAACTCCAATAATTCCAAGCTCTTCCTATTTTCACCTCAAAATTCATCCTACATAACTCATGTTTGTTATATTAACATCATCACTTACAAGAAAGATATTTCACCTTTGAGTAGCTTTTAACTTTTGCTATATGTACAAATGAGAGATCTTCGAATAATGCTAAGGCCATAAATTCTTTCTGCCTTAACATGCAATAATTATGATCAATGCTAAGTCTATTAAAATAAGTTTAATGATAACGAATAGCATTTAGGCAATTGATGTTGATCTGTTTAACTTTACCATATTTTTTATGTGTTATAGCGTTGATAGGTGCGGACCATTCTTCCAATAAACAAAATAGATGATTCGCTTTCTGTAAATTTCTTTCTTATTCTGATTTTTTTAGGCACTTTTCAACTGTAATCTATATTAAGCTTTTAATATAGGTTTAGATTAGTTTGGGACGGCTTTTTTCTTGCTTCTTAAAGCAACTTTCTAGTACAAAAATTTTAATTTTTCTATTAAAAAGCTGTTTTAAGCAGCAATAAAAAAGCAGTTCCAACGAAGCCTTAGGCCTCATTTGGGACGACTTTCTTTCTGCTTCTTAAAGCAGCTTTTTAGTAGAAAATTTTTAATTTTTATAATAAGAAGTTGCTTTAAGAAGCAACAAGAAAGTCGTCCCAAACAAAGCCTTAGTTTGAAATAGCTTTTTTATCGCTTTTTAATGAAGTTTTTAGTACACAATGTCTAGTTCAAAAAAAATTATACTAAAAAATTAATTTAAAAGGTAGTAAAAAAATGTCTCAAGGAAACCATAAAGCCTAAGGCTTCGTTTGGGATGACTTTCTTACTGCTTTAAGAAGCAGTAAAAAAACCGTTCCAAACAATCTAAATGTGCAGTATGCGGCTTATCTTGATTTGTTGGTTGGAATTTTGATTATTAATTAAGAGGTCTTGAGTTCAAATCTGTGTATGTGATATTTATATGAATTTGACTTAGGTTTCATTTGGATTGGTTTTCTTACTGCTTCTTAAAGCAGCTTTTTAGTACAAAAGTTTAATTTTTTACTAAAAAGATGATTGAATTAGTCAAAAAACCGTCCCAATCCAGACCTTAATTGACCTAAATATTTTAAAAAAATACAATAAAGCCATAAAGCCAGCAATGAGCTTACCTTTTCCAGAAACGGCATGGCACTACTGATATCATATTTATTTCCACTTCAATAAGTGAGAAAATCAATTTTCCTATTTTCAGGGGTTTATATGAAAAAAACCTCCGAAATGGAGCAACCCAACGTGTATCACGTGACTGTGAAGCCGGCTTCATATCATCCATGATACACCACCTTTGTCTTTCAAAAACTACGTCGAAAACAGTGCGCCGGAGATCGACGGTGGTAATCATTTCTTATGCCTACGTTGCATGATATGTAACCGTTCGATCGTTTTCGAGGTACATTTTATAATTAAGATGGGATTATTATAATCAGAAACTATATATAAATATATAAAAGTATAAAAGAAATGCCACTTTCTCTCTCTACAATTTATATTTAAATTTAAAATAATATATCTCAGTCTGTTTACTATATAGTGGGCTTTGGTGCTCGTAACAATGCTCTTTCAAAGCAAGCAAACAAGCAGAAGAGTCTCTCTCTCTATCTCTCTCTCTCTCTTCTTTTTCTCTCTCTAACTCTTCATTGAAAGGGGGAGGAGAGCTGCACAGCTTGGGTTACAGAGAAAGAGAGAGAATGGGAAGGGCTCCATGCTGTGAGAAGGTGGGTTTAAAGAAGGGAAGATGGACAGCAGAGGAAGATCAGCTTCTAGTTCAGTACATTAAAACAAATGGAGAAGGTTCATGGAGATCCTTGCCTAAGAAGGCTGGTACTATACTGTTCATCATCATCATTCACAGATGAATTAATATCATTCGCTTAACTGTACAGACAAATCTGCTTTGTGATTTATGTTGTTAGGCTTGCTGAGATGTGGCAAAAGCTGCAGGCTTAGATGGATAAACTATCTGAGAGAAGACTTGAAGAGAGGAAACATTTCTAAGGAAGAGGAGGACACAATCATCCAGCTTAGAGCAAACTTGGGCAACAGGTACTATATATATTTAGTTATAACTTGATATTCCATTTGAATTATAGTTCTATAAATCCAAAATGTACTTTAATATACTTACTAATATATGTTATAATTTATATACAAGGGGTGTAACTTAGTCAAATCGACTCGTGAGCTGACTGGAGCTTGATTAGATAAAAAGCTCACGAGGCTAGCGTGATGAGCTAACTCGTACACATAAAATTACACTCGTGCTCAAACTCTCTCAATGTCGTCCTTAAAACAAGAAAATTCAATGATAAAATATGCGGCTCGAGCTATGGCTCGTTGGTAACGGAACTCGTTCTTGTGACTAGCTGGTGATGGAATTCGTTCCTTTCATAAAAGAGTTGCGCTCGAATCGCTCAGGCTAAAAAAAAAAGTTTATTGGTTGAAATAAGTATCCAAGCAAATACGATTTTTTTTTTGAAGAAAGTATCCACCTGCTGCCACCCCCGAAAGGGTGCTAGCTTGGTGACATGACTAATTCTTGGCTGACCTAGAAGTAGCACCAAAAAAAAAATCTCTTGACCCGCACTTGATTGGGCATCACTTAAGAGGCGCTGCCGCTCGAGGGCAATCGAGCACAGATTAACGGGTTCCAACGTACTCACCCAGCAACCAAACTAATCAATGGTGGCTAAAAGTTTTATTTTTATTAAGAAAAATATGCATGTTTCAACTGTACAGAACATTTATATAGGTCCGAGTGCTATGTTAGTTACTTTATTGCCGCTTTGTCCTGACCGCTTTCTTGTTGTTTTGTAAAGCTATTTTTAGTACAAAAATCTCTTGAAAGTAACTAAAAAATAAGTCTAAGTAACCTCAAATGAAGCCATAATTTATATTTAGCTATTACTTTTTCTATGCTTTAAAAAAATAATATATTTGGAAGCTTCTTTTTTCACAATCATTCAAAAGTTATCTTTTATATAACAACTTTACAATCAAATGTACAAACAAATTTTTAGCCATTCCAAACGGAC